TGATATGGCGTTATACCATAACGCATAAGGTGTGAAGGCCAAGGCAGTTTTGGCCCCATACGGTATTGACGTTGGACTTTTTTAAACCAAGATTTCTCTCATAACTGTAGTGTAAATAAGTATTTTCTAAGCCTTAATGTCAGTATTCCACTGTGTTTATTTTAAAAAATATTCAGTGAAGGATCAGGGAGGCATAAAAAAGCTGCGGGATTAACAGCTGTTCTTATGTTCTTATTATATTACAAACCATATAAATCTTCTACTGTGCAGGTTCATTCAGCATAACTAATAATGCTGTTCCAGACAGCCTGTGTTCTTGTTTTAAGCTTTTTGGGAAAACTCCACAGAGCAAACAGAGGAGAACAGAGTCAGAGCTGCAACAGAAGAACAGTACACTAATCTTCCTTATGTCTTTAAATTATTAAAAGGAATCGTGCATGCACTGTAAAGTTAGCAGGAAATGATTTCAATTCATATCTGTTTGCAAAGCACTTTTCACACATAAGCTGCACATAAACGGTTGACCAAAGGCATGAAAGGAAAATGAGATTGTAACGAAGCAAGTTTAAATTTAAGGGAAAGAAATTAGATTAGATTTTAACATGATAAAATATCATGTTAAATAAATAAAGCTGAAGTAAAAATTAGAGAGAGAAGGTTTAAAAGGACATAAAAAAAACAAGCAGGGTGGCTTGGAAAATAAAATCTCTGCTTCCAGCTCTTACTATGGAAATTCCTGGAATGACGAGTATGACGAGTCAACCTGCGTCTTTTTTTTTTTTGTGTCTCTAAAAGCTGCATCTTGAAAGCAGCATTTTCTTGTGAGGTGGAAAGCATTACGGAAGCTGAGGTCACTGAGGGCTTTACAAGTGATAAGAGGGATTTTGCACTGAATTATTGAATGCATTAACCAATAAATGTGATCCCCTTTCCCGGTCCTAGTAAGAACTCATGCTGCAGCATTTTTTTTATCAGCTGGAAGACTGCAGGCGAATTAACAGGACATCCAGGTAAGACTGCAATGCATTATTTAGGGGATACTAATGCATACAAGTATCCCCTAAATACTTGTATGCAGGATGTATCAGGGAATTTATTAGGTGGTTATTTGCTGTGATACCCCTACATAAAAATCCAGTGCAACCAGCTGCCTTCAAACGTTGTCTAAATCGTAAGTAGATCACAGTCGTATGCAATTCCATTTTAGACAAAAATGCAGAAACCTTGGGGGTTTGTTAAAGAACATTAGAGATCAACAAACAGCATCATAAAGACTGAGGAACTCAGCAGACAAGTCAGAGAGAAAAAGTTGTGGGTTGTTAACGCAACAATGACAAGCTTTAAACATTTTAAAGAACACCATTCAATCCAGACATAGCAAATGTGTAAAAGTAATATGCACTGAAAACAGCAATCCCACTGTGAAACATGGTGGTGGCAGAAGACGGAGGATGGAGCTAACAACAGGGAAATAATGGAAGGACTCCGTTAAGAAGCTGCAAAAGACTTAAAACCGGAGTGGAGATTCACCGTCTAGCAGAACAACAGCCGTATCCAGACAAGTAGAGCTACAATGGGACTGATTAGATCAAACGTATGTCTTTACATGGCCTATGTAGACTGATGAGAGCCTTCAGCAAGACTTGAAATGGATATTCACAGACGCTCTCCATCATATCCGACCAAAGGTGAGCATTTTCAGAAAAAAAAGAATGTTTCTAGATGTTTTACTTCACAGCTGTGCACTGTTTCATGTTGGTGTATCAGATTAATTTAAAATAACACACCTTGATGTCATTGGTATGTGTCAAAAGGTGAAAAAGTAAAGAAAGGCATGAATACTTTTGCTAGACACTCCATATATGTCGTCTAAATCAAAATTAAAGCTTGCAGTTTTATATTAGAAAAAAAAACTCTTAACACAGTTCTGCGTAAAAAGCAGCAAAACAAAATGCTAATAAAACCGTAAGTGCTGTTACAAAATAAAAACAAAAAAACAAAGCATCCTTAACCTGGATTAGCATCGTTTAAAACCTGAAAAACAAGGCTTTGTTTGCTTTTCCTTGACTTTCCCGGATGAAAAGGAGAGAAAGGGAAAAAAAAAAAAAAAAAGAAAAAAAAGGCAGCGCTGTCATGGCAACGCCGAGTAAAAATAACACAAGCTTATTTTCCACAAGCTGAAAATAAAATGGAACAGGATCCGTTTGGACAAACGAGATAAAAAATGGTTGCTAATTCAGAGACGGCGCATCCCTCACGCGGTCGCACCGTAGCGTGGAGGCCCCTGTCGCCGCTCCCTCTGGTCATCGGCTGTTGTCCTGCGGCCGGATCCTCTTACTCACGGAGAGAAACCAGCACTTGTCAGGATAATGATCTTAATACAACAACGCCCCACTAATTCCTCTGTCCCAGAAGCCACCACAGCTGGTTTGTTTAAATCTTATAATTCACTAGCAGCTAATTAACATTCAGAGAACGGTATTATGGAACAGACAGCTCCTCTTAACAACCACCAACCTCAGGTATTTTACATGTAATTAACGAGCGGGAGGAAGTAAAGGCGAGGACTGAAAACACTCATTTAGCTTCCCACTTATTCCTGCCTCGCAGTGCACACTGCAGCCACACTCTCCACGTACGGATCGCATGCAGAAAAGGCATTATTATGCAGCACTGATGCATTGCTGAGAAAACAGACTCGACTTGTATTTAACAGGCTGCACCAGCTGTGTGCAGAAACATTTTTAATGCACTGTAACCAGGGTCTGCTTCCTGGGCGCGTGATTTCGGCGGAAAAAAAACCCCCAAACAGCATTATGCAAACGAAACCTCAGCTGAGCGGAGATGAGCGATGGAGCGAGATGCCAGCACTGATCAGAAAGACAGGGATCAGCAGTGGAGTGAGGGTCTCGGCCGAGATGTTATCTGTTTCATGTTTTCCACTAACCCCGGTGAGTCAGCAGAGCCCGTTCACCCAGAATGTGTGGTCACACCTCGGACTCGGAGGACACTTCCCTCTCAGAATAGCACATTTGTAATGTCACGCAGGCGAAGCTGCGACCACGGTGTTGACTGGGCTGCATGCTTTTATTGCCCGACAACATGGCTGACCTTTCAGCCTCAGCAGGCCAGGGTGCTGGGTCACACAATAAAGCACCAAAAAAAAAAAAAAAAAAAAAAAAGGCTTGTTACATGAGCCTGACAAAAGAAGGAGAGGCAACAAAAATCCTCAGCTGCAGCGACGGTGGCGCCCTTCACGTTATCAGAGAATACAGATGTCAAACTTCAACTAAAAACGGTAGAGTTCATTCCTCACCAAAGGCTGTTTTGTCTTTAATTAGAGCAGTGAGCAGCTGTCGACAACAAAGTCCTGCTAACTTCACCATGGCAGACCAACATGCATAGATTTCAGATCCACTACTATTCTTCCCACTTCATTCAGTCCTCCATCTGCCTTCATATTCACATGGTTAGATTTGCGCGTTTCAACCCGACAAGATCAAAACCATTCTGCTTTTCAGCTTAGGATTTCCCCACTCAACTTACTTAATGAATTATGTTCCTAAAGGAGGAGATTGTTTTTCTCTTTGCTACTGTTCCTATTCACATCAGTAATAATTTCTTTAGTGATTCTTTCGTACAAAGCAGACATATTATTTTCATAAAATGGCGAATAAATCACCAGTTATGGCAACGAAAACAAACACAGTTTTATCAAAAGCGTTAAGTCTTGATTTTGGGATGGGGTGAGGCTACAGTATGTGACTCTCACTATCATCTTATGTTTGCAGATCATAGGATCATCAGGAAACAACATTTGGTCCAAATCTTCATGACTTATAAGCAGGTCCTTGTGGGATTAGAAGTAGAAAAAAAGTTGGTTTTCACCTGTTACTGACAAGCTACATTTTCTGGGTTCAACATAGAGATCTCGCAGGCACGAATTAGAATTAAATGTCAAATCGTATAAGCCTCCAAAATCATCAAATCTGCAACAGCATGAAATAACAGAGACTTAATAACTATAATTTACAGTATAAAAACTGTAAGTCTTTGTTTTTGAAAAAGTCACCAAAATAATGTATGTTTGAAAAGTGCCAGGATAATGCTTAGAAACTCAGCAGTCTACAGACATCCAACAAATTTGGTCCCATTGTCTTTAAGCTGCAGAACTCGGAGTCAAAACTTTTTTTGGGGGGGGGTGGCGGAGGGGGATTCTACAAGCTTCTCAGAAAAGTTGCAGAAACTTTGGCCTGTTCCTCCTGACAAAACTGGTAGAACTGAGTCAGCTTTGCAGGCAACGTTGCTCACATCCTCTTACAACTCCATCTGTTAGAGTTGCCTTTGATTAATAAGTGGTACATAGATTCATTTTAGTCTGAATTGCCACTTTTCATTGTTTCTCTGTATTTTGCCTCTGCAGTGTAATATTTTTTGGTTATTGTGTTATGCTTTTATCATTGAAGACGAGGTCTAAATGGCCATCCCGGCGCGCAGTCTCTCTTCTCAGTGCGTCAGCGCTCGCTATGAAGCCATGTAGCGATAGCTAGCAAAACTACTACTAACACTGCACACACCACGAACTCTAACAACACACTTATAGTCTAAAAAACCTAGTAAAATCCACAGCATGGCTGCGCCCTAGTCTCTTGCCATATCCAAGTCCTCCCCCCCCACCCCTCCCCTCTCTGCGTGTCTCCGTTCTACCTAGCAACAGACCGTCAACACATTTTCATTGGTTGTTTCGAAATGTGGTACATTTAGACCCCACAAAATAAGGCGGAAATTATCAATCTTATTTCTGGCTTTATTTTGAAGTAAATAACCACAAAACCAATATAAAAACACCACTTTTATAAAGTTTGAAGTCCGTGCTGTCCAACAGAGTTGAAATGAAAACTCGGTATGCGTCCATGTTATTACGAAGCCTTATAAATGCGTCACATGCTTGTACGCCGCACGGCGGGCAGCGACTACATAGGGTTAAACTGTGTTGCGCCTTGCAAATAAACTGGACTTGACAGTTCATACACATTTTCTGATCAGAGCTCTTTTGATGATCGCTCCAGACCTTCGACTTTGTTGTCCTTATGCCATGTTGTGACTAATTTGGCTTCATTCTTTTGAAAGATTTGCATCTAAGCTACACACACCAGAGTCATTGTTGATGTCTTAGGTTGTTAATTTAATATTTAGTCACTATGCTTCTTTTTTGTGAAGTGCACCAGTCCTTCCCGCTGCAAAACACCCAGTGAAAATGATGCTGCCACCCGGTGATGTACCCTATGTTTTTTTTTCCTCCAACTTCCAAGTCATTTCACCAAAACTTTTCTTGTTTTGGTGAAACATTAGGACATGTGTCTATCTGTATTTATTTATCAATTTGACTAAAACCTTTTTTTTCTATAAGCAAGGACCCCCAACCCCGACAGCGAGAAGTACAAACTCCAGATTACACCTGAACCTAAAATCCTTCCACTGGAATGCAAGAGAGAAGGAATCTTAGTTTTCATCTGTCTGTATGAAGAATAGTAGCACAATTCAGCCCCTTCCCCACTTGTTGCTGCACTGCTAGTTAGTTCGCTAAATAAAAATGCTGTTTTCTCTCACCTCAGTACAACACATGGCTTCTCCAGATGCTGCATGGTAGGACAAAAACAACAGCAACATTTCCCACCGTCGTGCCGATAACAAGGTGCAATATGATCACAGCCACCTTCATCTCTATTAAAACCCTCCTCTTCTCTGTCTTTGCCTGTTTCAGTCTCTCCTCTCCTGCTTGTTTTCCCATCAGCACTTTAATCTTAAAAGCAGCTGGCCGTGATGAGGAGGATCAAAGCAGCGCCGCGCCGAGCACAGGTCACCGGCTGCGTCCTCGTGATCACGGTGATATTATTGATTTCTCCGGGATCAATCTCGTCAACTGCTTACCCTTTATTCCAGCTGAAAGGAGCTAGACATGAAGAGCAGAAGGAGAGGAGGAGGAGGAGATTCCAACCTGTTATGCAATTTACAGGGATTCTTCACAAGGTAACAACATGTGGAGCAGGAGTCCACAAGGAGCCAGAGGTTTGTTTTTACAGTGTTTTATCTTTCGCTTTCTGTCTAAATCTGTCAAAGTGGATCTGGCAGGAAGAGCTTTTTCTGAGAAACGAGAGGGATGAAGGTTCTTGCATAGCCACTGGGAGCTGTGACGTCAGTCGCCTTTAACTCTGTGCGCACAGTTTTGTGTTTTGCTGCAGACACAGGCGGATGTATGAAACGGTGTTTTTTTTTTTTTTTTTTTTTTTTTTCCAGATGAATGCCCGCCTAGATGCCTAGTTCTTGAGTGAGATAACCCTTTGGAGCAAGGCAGAGGTGGATTACATGGCTGTTGAGCTCAGCGTTGCAGCCAGGGATCCAGTCAGAAGAGCGGGAGAGATGGTTAGAGACACGAGGAGAAGATTTCAACTCTCTATGGACGCCCCCTCTTCTTCCACCAAGTCATTTCCGTTCTGGCAGCCTCCTCCACTAATAATAAATCACTTCCATCGAAGGAGACGCTCTGATTATCCTGTACTCACCTAAATAAGCTGCCATGTTTTCCTGCTAAAAGCGATAAATGGCTCACAGGCACTCCATTTTGAAAGCTTGGAAAATTAAATAAGCAACTTCTTTTTTTGTGCTTTTCTACGTGTTTGGGCTGTGACTGTTGCCTCTGAATTATTCCAAAATAATGAATAATGAGATCGCCATGTTTTTTATTTTTTTTAAAAAGATGTAAAACATATTGAACCTTGTCACACAACCTGGGACCATTTTTATCAAAGTTTGAAGCATCAGCTGACACAGTGCCATCTACTGGCAAAGTCATAGACTACAATTAAATAAAAACATGGACATTTCCCTTTGATTCTTATCATCTAACCAGTAGGAAGGCTTTTAAAATGTAAATTGACTTTTGCAGTGTCTGGGCCTCTACATGAAAAGCAGCCATCAAGTGGAGAAATTACACTAATCTCTGTTTCCTTAGGTTTTAATCTCTGTTTCCTTAGGTTTTAATCTCTGTTTCCTTATTAAACCCATATGGCTGAATGCTACAATACAAACTGATAAGGAGACAATACAAAGCAAACAAATTTAAAAGAAAAAATTCTGTAAACATTTCAAATAAACAATGTAGGAGGCATTTTTTGATTTTCAATTATTTTAAGTCTTATACTATGTTTTTATCCTTCTGTTCAAGTTAAGGGATTGCTCACAATTTCTCTGAATTAGTGCTCTTGCATTCATAGGATGCTGAATTTTCCCTCCTGGTCTGGCAGTCTTTGCCATTGAACAGCACACATTAGCTGTGGTCTTTATTTTATACGTCATCAACATATCAGTTTATATTTCTTTATCGCTTTTAACATGTAAGACAAAACCACTCAAGGAAAATCACCTTGATATTCAACTAAAATTGGACTGAATTAAGTGATTAAGTACAATTTCGCTGGTTCATTTCTAACAGCTAGCTTTATCAGTGTATTTTGTTTTTACTCAGGCTGGACTGGGAATGGTTGTTGCATTGTTCGATGCTGAGCAGTGGATTTTTCTTGACATTACACATTACACCAAAGAGTCTGCATTTTCACAGTGGCCACAAGAAAATTAGCTTAAAGTCGTCACATTAGGAATCTGTTCACTGTTGCTTTTGTGGCTTTAATTTAAAAAAAAGGTCCATTATTGAAGTTTTGTGAATTATAAATACTTATTTAATTACACATTTCACAGTAACTGATAAAATTCATCTCAAATTAAAGTTATTTTTACAATGCAAGTCCAATAGATGGCACCCTATTGATAACTAGCTTCACTTTAGCATAAACTCTGCTAGGCTACATGTTTAATACATGGATAATTTTGTGACAACACTTCAGGTTTGAACTAGATTCAATTTATCCCTTCTGGTTTACTTTAAAACATATGTGAGGTGGTCAAAATCATATTCACAAAAACATTTTTATCCTATAGTATACACCTTTTTTTTTTTTTTTAATTAAAAATAGAAAATGGATGTCATCACAACCTCTGGGTGTGGTTTCCAATTAGGAGTATTGCTTTTGCAGAATAATTCAACCTGGACTTAAACTCTGAATTTTGTCCTCTTAATGGTTTTCCAGATTAGTGACGCCAAGGGTAGGAAATGTTCTATGGAAAACGATGAAGGGGAAATTTATCTGGGAACTATTGGTGTTTATTCAAATGAACCTAAAATTGGGAGGGCATTTATTGAGCATAAATATAAACGTTTTGTTTTGTTACAGACAGGCATCCATGCAGAATAAAACAATTAGCATTACACTTCAACAAATTTATCTGTAAGCAGAAGCTTATCAAGTATGATTATTCTTTTGAACAACCAACTCTTTCATCAAATAACAAAACATGAGTGTTGAATAAAACATTACTCATTCCTGACCCAACCACTTAAAAAAAGGTAAAATGCCGCCCCAACTCCATGACTAAAAAAAAAAAAAAAAAGCTTCAAAATTTAAAATGAGCATAGCCTCTTCTCAATATGAAACAGAGCCATTCAGCATGTAGACCAAAAAAACTATATTTTCTTAAATTTATGAAAACCTACAACTTCTAACCCATTTCTGCCAAACTCATTTAGGTAATGTCCACATCCTGAACATCATCAAGATCATCCCCCAGAAATGCAACCTCAGCATTCTAGGAATCATCTGCAGATGGAGGAATGCACCATGCATGCAGGGGGGGGGGGGAGAGGGGCTTGTGCACCTGTAATCATCAATTCAACATGCATGTGATTGACAGTGGTGGAGAAAGTACTCAAAAAATGTACTTAAGTAAA